AAGATTGATTTACTATAGCCTGGGAACAATGTAGTGAAAAGTTGCCATTAAAATTCTGGGCCAAATCCTGGGGTTTGATACTTTAAAACAAAGATGTTGGCCACCTGCCAGGGAGGTAGTAGAGGGAATTCATAAATCAGTTAAGGGTCAGACTTGCGTGACCTGTGAGGTTCCAGTCATATTTGACATTCTGGATTCTTCTCACATGTGTCTTCCTGCTCTCTCGGGCTCTTTCAGTCTCACCCCAGTCTTTGGGCCGTACACCCGCCCCTCTGAGAGTGAGCTGTGGGACATGTGGGCAGGGATTCGCAACAACGACGGGAACTTAGTTATCGACAGGTAAGAAATAACACTTTGCTTTGGTTTCCAGAGAAGCTCTTTTTTTTGGGGGGGGGGTGTGGAGTGGGGAAAGGTAGAGGATTGCTTGTTTTGTTCCTTGCTGGCTTGTTCCCTCTCTCTGACCTGTGAGGCAAACCAAGAAGTCATGCACTGTTCTTTCTAAGAAGAAAGAAATTGAGAATAGTGAGCCTTAAGCATAAGCCACGTGGCACACAAAGTTTAGATAAACAGCTGCAAATTCTAATGCTAATTCTGTTTCTAACTGGCCGGTTGACTTTGGCAAATCCTACTTTGGGCTTTTTGTGAATATTAAATGCCTCTAATTGTCTAATCATGGTTGTGAAAGGAGCCTAGTACATGTCTCTTTCTTTTTCATGTCTTTTCTGTAGCAACAGTGACTGAGGAGAGCTTTCCGTCTTACACAAGGAATGCTCACGACTTGATCCAAATGAGAATGTAGCAGCTTTCGTTTTAGGATGCCTTTGCATACCTGTAACAATAAAGATTTCTTGTTCTACTCTTGCTCACTTCTCTGTCCTATAGTCTCTTACAGTACATCAACCAGAGGAAGAAGTTTAGAAGACGCTGGGTGGGAGCTCTTGCTTCTGTAACTATTCCCAGTGAGTATTTCTACCTTATATCTTGATAGGACTGAGGGACTATGGGTCTCAAATAATTGCCAGATTTAGCAAATAAAAATACGAGACACCCAGCTAAATTTGAATTTCAGACGAATAGCAAATACTTTTTTAGAATAAGTATGTGCTTTGCAATATTTTGACGTATTTATACTTAAAAAAATCATTACTTACGTGAAATTCAAATTTAACTGGGCATCTTTTATTTAATCTGGCAGCCCTACTCTGCAAATCTGGAAGAGCAGTGACCTGCGTTGTAGAGTGAAGCATCTGAAACAGCGAGATGCTGCTGCAGGGGCAGCTGGTACCACTGTCAGGAGCGGGAGCGGGGTTGGCTTCTGCGCTGTGCAGCGTGTGGCTGCCACGTTACATGCTGAGTTGCCGGGACAGAAGGCGGTTTAGATGACTAATCGAGAGGCTGTAGGTGGTTTCTGCTCATTGGTCTCTTCAATCTTACAGATTTAAAAAGAAAAAAAATCAGTGCAGTGTCTCATACACAGTAGTGCTCCAGAAATTAGTGGTTGCTTTAAAATGTCAGCGGTCAGTTGTAACTGGAGAGAGACCTAAGTAATGACGGTATCCTGGATTTATAGGAAGAGAACATGGAGCGCGAGACTTAGTCCTTTTGGTTCAGGCACAGAGGAGCTGGAGGAGGGACTGAGTGTCTCTGTACAGGAGAACTGTCCCAAATGGACTGTTGGCTTATTCCCAGAAGTTCCTTATAACCTACTTATTGAAAGAAGCTAGGTTTTCTAGCATAAATCAGTGGGACTACATCAAACTAAAAAAGCTCTGTACAGCAAAAGAAACCATCAACACATGGGAAAAATATTTGCAAACCATATATCTGATAAGGAGTTAATATCCAAAATATATAAAGAATTCATACACTCCACAAAAAAAAACGAAGCCAATTAAAAACTGGGCAAAGGACATGAATAGATATTTCTGCAAAGAAGATATAGGAAAGGCCAACTAGGTACATGAAAGGAGTTCAACATCACTGGTCCTTAGGGAAATGCAAATTAAAACCACAATGAGATATCACCTTACACGTGTTAGAATGGCCATCATCAGAAAGACAAGAGATAAGTGTTGGTGTGGATGTGGAGGAAAGGGAACCCTTGTGCACTGGGGGTGGGATTGTAAATGGGTACGGCCACAGTGGAAAATAGTATGGAGGAGTCTCAAGAAATTAAAAATAGAACAACCATATGACCCAGCAACTCCACCTCTGGGAATATATCCAAAGGAAATGAAAACACTAATTTGAAAAGATGTCTGCACCCCCTTGTTCGTAGCAGCATTGTTTACAACAGCCAAGACATGGAAACAGCCGTCAATGAACGAACGGATAAAGAAGCTGTGAGATGCACACCCACACACTGCAGTGGAGTATTATTCAGCCATAAAATGGCAGTCTTACCATTTGTGACAATATGGATGGACCCACAAGGCGTTATACTAAGTGAGATAAGTCAGAGAGAAAGAAAATACTGAATGATCTCACTTCTGTGTGGGATCTGAAAAACCCCACCAAACTCAGAGGAAAAGAGATCAGATTTGTGGTTACGGGAAGCTGGAGGAAGGTAGTCAAAATACACAAACCTGCACTTAGAGGTCCTAGGGATGTGATGCACAACATGGCCGCTACAGCTAACAAAGTTGTCGAGAGAGTAGATCCTAAGAGTTGTCATCACAAGGAGAATTTTTTTTTTATCGTGTGGTAATCATTTCAAATATACGTAAACCAAACCATCATACTGCATGTTTTAGACTGGGAAAAAAACCATTTTGTTTTGAGGGAGGAGAGTAGGTGTGAGAGCTTTAGTAATTCGTTCCTCTTCTCTTTCCTAGTTCATTTTATCTATGGGCCACTGGATCCCGTAAATCCCTATCCAGAGTTTTTGGACCTGTACAGGTGAGTCTCCCTCAGGGGTCTTTGTTTTGTTCCTCACGGTGACAGTGGTGAACAGGATAGCCACTGTCTCTGCCCTCACTGGCAGTTCATCCAGGAAACATAGTAGAAAAGGATGAATTGGGGAATCTTCTTTTCAGAAATGTAAAGATGAAAAAATTCAGTTATACGTTGTCTTGATGTATACAGCCTATTTCCACTGTCATGGTTACTACATATTCCTAGGTGTACAGGTAAGAAGCAGCTATCATGTGAACCATGGAGTGAACTACATCTCTTTTAAGAAATGTTTGCTTTAGTCTGATCATAAAGCTAACTCCTCCACCTCAGCTGAGCAGACGAGTGCACTGTGGAAAAGTGCCTTCTCATCGGTTATTTTCTCTAGGTACTTACTCAGAAGGTGTTGGAATATGAAATCTTGACTATGTCACAGAAGACTGTCCCATACCTTCACGTGGCCTAGCAGAAACAACCCAGTAGTAAATAGTGTGCATTTAATTTTAAACAAAGTGCCCTCCCCTCATCCGCTCCCAGGGTTAAGGAAGGTCCGTTGTTATCCTTACTTGGATAGCGAGTTGCTGAGTGGCCCACTTGTTTGATGCCTCATGCTTCTCTAAGGAGCTGGAAGTCATCCTGCTTGGGCAGGTGCTGTAAAGTGTTATATGCTCAGGTTGTTGTCTGTTGGATTATGAACATTTAAGAACTAGTCTGTTTATGTCGTAAATGGAATTGGCAAGTTTATCTGCCTAAGGTACAATTCCAAAGTAGAAGGTGAATAAGCTCTTTGTTGGTTCCTTCCAGTGTGGTATGTCCACAAGAGCCTTAACCGGGGCTGCCCACTGGCTTGCATCCGTCCCCTCCCTCCAGCCTTAAGTTCACCTACGTGCTGTTCTCTTCCACTAGGAAAACGCTGCCGCGGTCCACAGTGTCGATTCTGGATGACCACATTAGCCACTATCCACAGCTAGAGGATCCCATGGGCTTCTTGAATGCATATATGGGCTTCATCAACTCCTTCTGAGCTGGAAAGAGTAGCTTCCCTGTATTACCTCCCCTACTCCCTTATCTGTTGTGTATTCCACTTAGGAAGAAATGCCCAAAAGAGGTCCTGGCCACCAAACACTATTCTCTCACAAAAGTCCACCTGACGCACATTGGTGATCAGCGTATAGTAAAAAGCCCACAGAAGCTCCGGTTAAGGATGGCCCTAACAGTCCACCTCCCATTCTTCTCACATCTGAGCAAGTTTATGGACTTGCCTTTGCGCTATTAGGAATTTCTTAAAAGTCTTAACACTTCTATGGACTTTTCTGAAATACCTAGAAATGCTCATTTCTGGCCCATCCTTGACTGGAGTCCTAAAGTAAAGAATGAGGAGAGGGTGTCTCCTGACCTGTCCTTAAATGGCTTTAAGGGCACATGCGTTTTTAAGTTCTCTAAAAAACACAGCTTCAAGTGAGAGTGAGTCTCCCTTGTCCTAACTTGGGATTTCGTTTCATGAGCTGCTTTTAATTATAAACATTTTGTTAAAATAGGTTTTGGTTTGAATAATGCAGTATTTTAAGTATACTTTAAGACTATGATTTACCTACATGTATTATATGTATTTTCTAAGGATACTAAACCAGCAGATACTCTGGCAGAGTAGTGAACCTTATTAAACAGGTTTAATTTCTGAATACATTGAATTAGATTCAGACTATTTACAGAAGTTCCTAAAAATCACAGGATACTAAAGACCAGTAGCATCCGTGCCAGAGATTTACTGTTATTAGCTAACTCTGACAGCGAGTAACAGTCTGACTCTTCATACCTCAGTGCTTCGAGGCATGTCCCTCCTGAGCTGGAGGGGAGGGGATCGTTGTATAGTCCAGGTTACCGTACCGAATGTACAGAGATTCCTTTTCTGATGACTGATTAACTTAACGTCTCATTGGTTGTCTCAGAGAGACATCCTCTTGTAGCTCAGTAATTCCTGTACTTTACAGACAGGAAAGTTCCAGAAACTTTATGAACAAATTCTGAAAGACCTATGAGCAAATGGTGCTGAAATTTTTTTTAAGCCACAGCTTCACTGTCTTAGTCGAAACAGGAGGATTAAGTGATTATTTTAAATTTTTTTTTTTATTAGCAACTTCAAGTATAACAACTGAAACTGGAATAAGTGTTTATTTTCTATTAATAAAAATGAATTTTGACAAAAGTGGACTCTGGCTTCCCCTCCCCCACCACCCCTCTGGGATAAAAGCTTTCAACATTGTCAGGAGCTTTCAGACACACATTAAATTAAAGACTATAATGAGGTTAAGCAGCTGGGGTAGAGGATAGTATTTGATTTGCAAGATCACCCAAAGCTGTACTATCATACCAAAGTTGACCAAGTGTAATAAAAAAAAAAAAAAATTTACATGCACAAGGACAGATATTTGCTTGATCTGCTGGCTCAGGGCCAAATATTTAATTTGCTTCTCCAAAGACGTTAATCTTTAAAAGTATGATTCTGGGAAATTCATGCCACCAGCCTAAAAGCCCACTGACAGTGAAGTGTGCATCGACTTCATCTTGCCCAGTAAACATTTATCCAACAGAAGCTAAGATAACATCTACAGGTGTTCCCTCTTGGCTTCTGACAGTCACCTGCATGGTCACTCCATCTGCTAAGGCCAGCCTGGACCTCACCAATAAGTCATAGCCACCTCTGTATACACCTGAGAGAAAAAAGCAAGGAAAACTAGATTAAGAACTCAAAACAAGCTCTGAATAATGAAATATGTCATGCTCTGCCTGCATTTCCTTTCTATTATTTTAGTTTAGCTTTTCTAGAGATCTGTGTCTATGGTGAGAATTGAATCCTGTGTACAAACTTTAGTAATCTTTTGTATAGCCATGATACCAGGCACATAGAAGGTATTCAGTAGTACTGATCTGGAGGACTCAGCGGCAGGTGGCATTGGTATCTGCAGGAGAGATTTAAGGGTTTTAGGCCAAATTCACCTCTTCAAAAAACAGCCTAAGGATAGCCTGCAAATAACTAAACAGCTAAAACAAATTATTCACATTGACAGGGCTGCAGACTGGGACTCCTACGACGGGGTAACAGACAGGAGCAGGGCCTGTGCACACCCCTTCCTATTTTGCGACCAAACAAAGGGGGAATCTGATGGCGGTTTCTTACCTGCCAGATAGAGGGAATGGGAATTCTTGTTCTCCGGTACTTTGTCCGACCTCTCACATGGCTGCATGCCCAGAAAGGTGGTGATGTTGTTGACAGCTTCTGTGTTGAGAAGACAGATGCAGCCGTATCAGGGAAGCTCAGCCTAGGGGTCTGCCTCCGTCCCAGCAGGTGCTGAGGAGGGAAGCCACCAGACTAGAACCTGGTTGACTCAATTAGATGATGAAGACAAGATCCTGGCCTTTTCAGCAAAATAGTTTATGAGATATTTAAAGAAAAGAGATACTCTGGAATAATAAATATGCCCATTAGATTTTATCCTGCAATACACCGACAGCAAAATTGTTCTCACCTTCGAGAGTTTTGGTGGAACTGAGGGCAAACGTCTCCTCTTTCTCAAAGGTGTCTCCCACCTCTTCCCAGGCAGCAGCAAAATTAGGCTTCAGTACTTTCTGAATGTGGTCAGACACGGTCACTTCAAGGTCTTCCAGCTAGTAGGTAACAAGCAGGGGTCAGTAAAGGAAAGTCCCTCAGTACACCACAAGGACAGAAGGGACCGATTAGAATGGTTTTGTCATTTGGTGTTCTGTCCTTTGCAGGAGCCTAGGACAAACTTTACCACCAGAGTAGTCTAAGTTCTGTGGTCTAGATAAATCTAATGATGTAGGCCTTAGCAAAGGAAAGCAAGAAAACAGGACATGTGGCAGGAGCTACATTCAGATCAACACCTACAACGCTGGGGGATAAAGTAGTCATGCTGCCATACCTAACCTTCGTGTTCAGGCCAGTCAGGGCCTTTGAACGTCACATTCACTCACAGCCTGATACTCGTTAAACTTCTCCCTGCATTTTGTGAAGGCTTTTTCAGTCCATAATGTGACTACGTTAGAAGCAAACTAAACGCTGCTAAATAAAAACAGAAAAAACCCAATACTTCAAATAAAACTCATTGATCTCCATGAAAATCATGTAATTGTTTGATCTCTTAATTATCCCTGTTATAAAGACATCAGAAAGTGAGTTTTGTTTTCATCAGTCATTAAGTGGTAAATCCCAATTCTCTTGGGCATGACACACTCCTCTTACAGAGGAGGATCCGTCCAGGTCCTCCTCAGTTGTGATCTGTTTGGAAAGAATGAAAGCCCCTAAGTTCACGTCCGATGTCGCTAGCAGCGTGGTCTCTGCAGGCAGAAGTCCCTCGATGGTGCAAGGGTGTCAGGGTGCATGTCCGTGCGGGGGAGACTCACCACGTACTCGTCATCATACCCCTCCTCAGCTGGAACCCCAGTGTCAGGGTCGCAGTCCCGGACCGTAAACCTCATGGTGCAGCTGAAGGTGCCTGCAACTGGGGCAGAAAGGACAGGCGAGCCTGGGTCAGGGCCGCTGCAGGCACGGGGCCTCCCTCCGTAGCGCAGAGAGCGTCCTGTGCTGTCAGGCAGAACACACGTAGCCTCTGCTTCCTAGGGTGGTAGCTCCCAGAGCCTGGGGCTGGCTGGCAAGGCAGTCTCACAAAATGACTTTAAAAACCATCTCCCACCGTGGGTTAGAATAGCACAGAAAAGACGACATGGGCAACGCTGTTTTCGTATTTGTGTGAAGCAAGCAGCAAGGGAGAGAACTCGGGGGGCTTTTTGCCGTGCCCGTCAAGAGTCTACATGTTGAAGAATGTAAGAACCATTACTTTTAGGAGCTGACAAAGCAAAAAAAAAAAAAAAAAAGGCAAAAAGCACACAGGTCGTTAACACGAAGTACATCAAGAGTCTCAATATCAATATTTTATCTTTAGACTGGACTGACAGTGGGTCCACAGGCCACCAGAATGAATGTGCTTTATGTCAACTTTCAGCCTACAGTAAGGAGGTCAGTAAGGAGGTTCTGGCATTGGTAGTCATTGTCTTAAAACGGAAAAGCAAGTGAGCCTCATTGGTTGGGGATGACTGGTAGAATAAAGAGATGGAGATCAGGGATACATTTTTGGAAAGGGAAGTCTTCATGAAGAAGATGACATTTTCTGAACTGTTGGAAGGAGGGGATTTGTTAAGTCTGGATGAAGAAAAGGCATTTAGGGTCAGGTACAAAACATACTAGAAACTGGGGAGTAAGAGTTATTTGGGGGATAGGAAGGACAGGAAAGAACAGACTCCGATGTAAAGACCATATATGACACTCTAGGTAATGGGACTTTCATCTGCTCAGTCTCAGCTTTAAGCTCCCTCCCTCCCTCCCTCCCTGCCTCCAGCCAAGTATGGGGTCAGTGTCAGTACATGTTGACATTAGACATGTAGACATTAAATCTAACGTGTCAGATCCTTAGGTAAAAAGATGACTGAGACATGACTTCTGTCTCCAAGAGCGGATTGTGTAGGAGTTAACTAGGGGAGAGAGAGAGAGAGAGAGAGAGAGAG